GGGGGGGAGGCTGGGGGAAGCTGAGACAGGCCGATCTGTCTGTCAGGTTCAGAGCCTAGAAGATAGTAAACGCTGGTTTAAAGGAACGATCGACTAGTGTTTTCGGGGACCGACAATATGCTTTTGCCTCTGTAACCTCACACAAAAGTGGGGCCAGATTTATTTTGTTCTTATGGGTCAAAACCTAACGCCTCCACCCTGTGGGCCCTGGTCTAGCTCCATGAACATCAGCCTGGCTGGCGAGGGAGAGTTTACCGTCACGATGGCCCTCTTCCAAGACCCGAACTACACGCTGCCTTACGAGGGGGCGTCGGCCACACTGCCTGTGGAGTCCATGCTGTACGTGGGCGCCCTCCTGGAGAGAGGGGACACCGCCCAGTTCAAGCTGCTTCTGAGGCACTGCTATGCCACCCCCACTGCGGACAGGGCTGACCCCATGAAGTATTTCATCATCAGAAACAGGTACCAGACGCCCCTGGGGCTCGCTTTTGGCCTAAATTAAGTTTTGGGGAAATGATCACCCGGCCCTGCCAGGCAGTTGTGTGATGTGCTTATCTCTCCTGGAAAATAATTGGATGGTACATTTCAGAACCATGCCCTTTGACCCAGGAATACCCTCCTGAAATGGTAGCCTAAAGCGTTAATGCAAAGTCCGTGGCAGGGCAAGAAAGGCCCATTGTTTTTCACTTCGTATTCTTCTGTCACCACTTTGGCCGTAGGGTCATTACATTATTGACCACCACAGACTGCAAGAACAAAGGGAAGATTCAAACGGCAATGATACCAGCTGCTGGGCACCGGGCGTGTCTGTGCCGCTGTGCAGAGCAGTGCTGCATCATCTCACAGATGCTCACTTCATGGGGGGGCGGGGGGGCGGGTGAACGCCAGACAAGATCAGGTCCCCCAGACCAGATAGGCGGGCCTGGGGCTTGTGAGGGGAGCAAGGACCTGCTTGTGATCCAGCAGCTGGAAGCCGGTCAGGCTGGAATTTGTTGTTCAGGGACCACCCCCAGAAAACGGGGTTCAGGGCCATGCACAGCATCTCAGGACTTGAGGAGCAGAGCCGCTGGTTGGTGGAGGGAGCCGGGGTTGTGCCCCTCGTGGGTGCTGTTTGCACGCTGGACCCAGATGGAAGGCGCAGCCCAGCACCTCTGGCCCGCTGAGCTGCTCCGAGTGAGACCCTCGCTGTCACCCACAGCTGCCCGAATCAGCTGGACTCCACCATCTCCGTGGAGGAGAACGGGGTGTCCGCCCAAGGCCGCTTCTCGGTCCAGATGTTCATGTTCGCGGGGAACTACGACCTCGTCTTCCTGCACTGTGAGGTGCACCTGTGCCACTCCTTGCGTGAGCAGTGCCAGCCGGTGAGCGTCTCCTTGAATGGACTATTGGAGTCTGGCCTGGGGCCTGATGGGCCCCCACGTGCATTTATTGGAGTATAAATGGACGGAAAGAAGAAGAGGGAGGGAGGGAGGGAGGGAGGGAGGGGGGGAGGGGGGGGGGGGGAAGGAGGGAGGGAAGGAGGGAAGGAGGGAAGGAAGGAGGGAGGGAAGGAGGGAAGGAAGGAGGGAGAAAAAAGCTGGGGGATGAAGAGATGGATGATGGGTGGAGCACAGGAGGGAGGGAGGAAAAGAGGAAAGGAAGAAGGACGAACGGATGGTTTTAAGCCTCCAAAGCACCAGGTGTAAGCGATTCTCGTGTCCCCAGAGGAAGACCCTGTGCACAGGTCTCCTTGGCGAGAGACGTGTTTAGGTGATCTTAATGACAGGCGCCATTTAGCGCTCACTCTGTGCCTCAACCTTCCTGCGCCTTGTCTAATGTAATCCTCACAACAACCACGTCAGTAGATTTTCTTATTGACCCCATCAGAGCTAAGGTGTGACCCCATGGTGGCCTGTGCCTGCTAACATTTGGCCTTCGCCGAGTGCTTACTGTGTGTCTGCATGTTGTAGCCACACCACATTTTAGCCTGTCGCGCCGGGAAGGCACTCTTTAATCTTGTAGAGAGGAGCAGTCACTGTCCCCAGTCGGTCAGCTAAGAGGGCGGAGAGGCAATTCCAGCCCAGGCTTGCTGGTCGTCCTTTGCATTTTGATGACATGAGAACTCTCCATCCCCACAGTTTTGCTCAAGAAGCCAACTCCGTAGTGAAGCAGTGGCCATCGACCCAGCCCTGGTTCTAGACTTGGGACCCATTACTCGGAAGGGTAAGTGGCCACGTCCTGGTGACAAACCTGTGGCCCAGGGCTGACCAGCAGCCTCAGGGGCCTGGAGTCTCCCACCTCACGAGGCAGAGCCCCGCCCAGGCGTCTGCCTTCCATGAGGTGCTCTGGGTGGCACTGACAGCATGTGCCACTGCGGGCCCCTGTGCGCTGGAGGCCAGGCTAAGCCGTGTCCACTGACTCACTTAACCTTGGCCATGTCCATTTTATAGGTGAGAAACCAAAGCTCAGAGAGACTAAGTGACTCACCAGACTCCCAGCTTGTGAGTGGCTGGAGCTAGACTTGACCCCGGGGTTGATTCCAGAGCGCATGTCCTCCTTATCGCTCCTGCCAGGCCCACAGCCCAGTCCCTTGGGGTGAAGGCTAAGTCCCACCCCAGCTTTGTTTGCTGGTGAATGACTTTCTCACAATCCAGTTACTGTATTGGGGTGTGATGTGGGGATGCTTTCTGTGGCTCCTCGCATGCTTATGAGAGAGAGAGAGAGAGAGAGAGAGAGAGAGGCATGTGAAAAAAAAAACATTGGCTGGTTACCTCCCGAACTCACCCCAATCAGGTATTGAAACCCACAACCTAGGTATGTGCCCTGGCAGGGAGTCAAACCCTGGCCGGGTGCATTGTTTTTTGTCCTAAAGAAATGAGGACACAGTGACATTATTGTAGTAACAACAACAACAGTAGCAGTACTGTGGGCCCTGACAGAACACACAGCACATGGAGCGCTCACAGCAGCACAGGAAGAGAGCGTTATCGCTACCCTTTCTCCACGGTCAGCCACGGAAGTGGCTTGCAGGGAGGCTATGCCCAGGGTTGTCCCCCACTCACTGAGCCCTCCCCCCACTGGAAGCCCCGGTGGTGTCACAGGAGCTGGGGGCGGGGGGTGCTGGGGGTTGGTGGTTGTAGGGACTCTCATTTGGACTCAGACAGACTGGGGTTAGAATCCCAGCTCTGCTGCTTACCAGCAAGGACAACGTGGCATGTCTGTTAACATCACTGAGCCTTAGTCTTCTCATCTGTCAAATGGGGATGAGAATCGCAGGTAGATTAGGGTCCCAATGCATGAAATGTGCTTAGAAAGGTCCCTGCCAAATACCAGAAGCCTCTACACCATGGTGGCCAGGCCCAGGGGGACCGGGCGCAAACCCGGCCACAGTGCGGCCTCTGCAGCGAGACTCCGGAGCCCTTACTTCTGCTTTTGTCACCAGGTGCCCCCTCTCTTGGTGTCATGAACGGGACCCCCGGCCCTGCAGGTACCTCGTTTCTCTTGCCTTTCCCACCTCCCTCCCCACATTCTTTCCTCCCTTCTCAATGTGGGCACCACCCAGCCCCACCGTGGGCGGGCCCTGCGCAGGAACTGTGGACACTGAAGCCAGTCAGCTCCCAGATGGACTGGAAATGCCCACCGTCTCACAGGGGAGCCGCTCCTTTAGACACAGATCTATTCTGAGTGCCTGTCATGTGCAGGCATCGCTCTAGGCACTGAAGGTGCCAGAATGAGCTACAGGGCCCGGGCTGCCCTGAGTGTGGGAACAGACAACAGGAGAGTGACAGATGCGGCCCAGCTTCGTGTCCCAGGCAGCGGGAGAGCGCAGGAGAGCCACACGGGAGGGTGGGAGGGCCAGGCCTCCACATGGCATTGATGATGGCTACCCACATCCCGCTGTTACATTCTACCTGCAAAGGAGGCTGGGAAAGTGCCCCTGTGCCCGGAGGAGCCTGAGAAAGGGTTTGGGGGTAGATGGCTGTGCCCCGAAGCACCCTGTGCTGCCTCCCAGCACTTGCCCAGGCCGCGCCTCAGGGGCTCTGCCTGTGACCTGGGCAGCAGAGGGCAGCAGCTCCCCTGACCCTCCTTCTCCTTCCAGGGCTCCTGGGGGCTGGGCCTGGGCTGCTCCTGCCCGTCCTCCTGGCCCAGCTCTTCTGAGATCCGGGCACCGGGCCCTCTGGCGACGCCTCCGGTCAGCCTCCGGCTCCTCGGACCTCCCGATTCAGACGTCCAGTGTCAGCGGACTGCAGGCTGAGCCGGTGGGGCAAGGATGGGCGTCCCCTGGGCTGGCTCCCGGGCCCTTGTACCCCTTTCTCATGGTGCAGGCTGTCAGCTGCCTGCGCTGGCTTTCTCACCCTTAATCGTTTCTTAAAAACAAACCTGCTAGGCCGCTGTGGCCCTAGCCTTTCCCCGCAGTGCAGCGTGCCTTTGTGATCCAGGGACCAGGGCCGAGGGGCCGTGGCACAGGGGCGAGGCGGGGGGAGCTCCTAACAGAGGCCCCTCCCGTGCTAGTGATTGAACAAACTGGCCTTGCTTTCACCGCATCCTCCGGCGCATCTCTATTCCAGGCCCTCAGTCACAAGGGAACATGCGTAAAGGGGCCACCCTCAGAGGCCCAGCCCCAGGAGAGATGGTCCCACTGCTCCCCGTCCCCATGGCACCGCTGACCTGCTTGGATGTGCCTGGAGCTGCACAGACTCCTGCCCTGGGCTGGTGCTGGGGGGACTGCTTGATGGGGTGCAGAGACCTGTCGGCCAGAGCACAGCCCAGTTGCACGCAGTGGTGCCCCCCCGCCCCACGCCCCCAATTCCAGAAGAGAATGATGCATCATTCCACCAGGCAGATGTAGCCACAGAGCTGGAGAGGGTAAAGGCCCTCTGCATGAGCCCTCACAGCCCTGGCAGTGCACCCCTTGCCCACATTGGCCTCAGGGAAATTACCAGGTCAGGGCCAGCCCAGGGCTGGGGCAGGGTAAGGGCAGGGACTGTCCATGAGGCACCTGTGCAGAAACAGGCGGTTTCAGGAAGAGATCCCACCCAGTGAACTCAGGAGGAGGTGAGAAAAGATAAGGATGCAGGAGCTCTGGGCCAGGACAAACAGAAGGTCCCTGGGACAGACAGTCCCTGGGCCCCCAGGACAGACAGCCCCTGGGACAGACAGCCCCCGGGACAGACAGCCCCCGGGACAGACAGCCCCTGGGACAGACACCCTCAGAACAGATGGATCCAGGGACAGACGGTCCCTGGGATAGACGCCCTCGGACAGATGGCCCCTGGGACAGACACCTCCAGGACAGATGGTCCCTGCTACGGACAGCTCCTGAGACTGGTGGCTCCTGGGATAAGACAGGGATGCAGGAGCTTCAGGCTTGGACAGACAGATGGCCCCTGGGACACACAGTCCCCGGGACAGACAACCCCTGGGACAGACACCCCTGGGACAGAAGGCCCACTGGCACCCAGGCTCCCCCCAAAAGCCCATTGGTGTGTCTCTCCATCTGCCAAGTCCTGAAACCACAGACCTTCACATCTGCTTATCTGTGTCCCCTGTCCTGCCCTCTCTGAGAGGAGCATTTCCGTTTATTTGTCATCACGTGATAAGCACAGCTTTGAGGGTTCACACTGCTCCCTCACTCAGGGGCCACGGGACTGATCGCGTTTTGCTATTCCACCTCCAATGGCACTGGTGGCCGGACTCCTGCCTGAGCCCAGGCTTCCCTGGTCCCATCGCCTGAGGCATGTGCCTGGGCTCATCTCCCTCAGCACAGCGGGTGGGCCTGAGGGCAGGCCCAAAGACACTAGGATGGTGGCTTCCTTCAGATGGAGAGTTTCAGGGAGGAGGTGCCTCCCAGTTCCCCTGCTCAGGGTTCAGACCTGCTGCATCCCAGGGGCCATGCACAAGGAGGGGCTGAGGGAGAGACCAGGAGTCCTCACATGCTGCTTCTCCAGGCTTGGGCGGGGCTAGACCACGGTCCTCAAACATACATAGTGAAACTCGTTCTTTAAATACAGTTCTACCTAAATATCCATTAAGTTGAGATTAAAAGCAAATAGAGTCTTGCTGATGTCTGTGGTCCCCTCCTCCCTAGTCCTCAGGGGAGCTCCATGATAACACAGTTTACCCGGGCAAAGGGTGGGACTCCCTGAGACATATGACCTCAAGGTCTCTTCCAGCACAACGTACTTGGGATTCTACCTAAATAGACTATCATCTATCTCTCTCTCATCTATCTATCAACTATCTATTATCTATCTATCTATCTATCTATCTATCTATCTATCTATCTATCTATTATCTACCCTCATCTATCTATCATCATCTAACTATATCTACTTATCTGTAATCTATATTTCTATCATTGATCTCTCTATCATCTACCTCCTATTTTGTCTTTCTCTTTCTCCATCTACCTATCATCTAGCTGGCTAGTTTCAGCTTTTTGTTTTTTGCTGATAGGTGTGCTCCATGACTGACAACCTCAGAACATCCAGTCTACTTTATTCTTTTGATCAACACTAACCTGTTGGGAAACTTGCCATGTTCCAGGCCCCAGGCCTGGGTAAATGATGAAACAGTCCCTGTGCTGAGAGGTTCGAATCTGGTGGGACATGAACACACAGAGAGACTCCTAGGTACAGCACAGTCAGGCACACATGCTCACTGACACTCAGACGCAGGGCTCACACCTGACGGAGAGACAGGCTCTAACGGCTGTGCACATCCACCTTGTGGGCCCAAAGACCCATCTCTACACAGCACCTCACCAGGCCCGCTAGCCCAGTCACTTTCATATGCATTGCCAAGGCCATGAATAATTTAGTAACAGCAAACACGTTTTTAAGCATGTCCTGTGCACCAGGCATTATTCAAAGTGTATTATGGGCATTATAGCATCCAACTCACGTTAGCTATTTAAGGCAGGTACTATCATTATTCCTGCTTTAGAAGTGAGTAAAACTAAGGTGTAAAGAAGTTAATTACTCACCCAGGCCTGTCACTGTTAAATGCTGGGTTCAGGGCTTGAACCCAGGTAGCCTGAATTTGGAGCATATGCTTTTAACTAGATGCTGTATTCTGCCTGTCTATACACAATACACACACACACACGCACACTCAGACACTCATATTCACACGTGTACCACCATACACACACACACCCAGGAGCATGCAGGTACATGGGAACATACACATATGCACTGACACATGAGGACAGACAACATATTTGCAACACAGAGGCCCTCACACATACACAGGCATTGACATTCATGGATAACACAGATGATAACATATACATGCCCACTTATGCATACTAGTATACACCTTAGTACAGAAAAAAAACCCCATAGAGACACTTATAGCCTATGCCACACACACACACACACACACACACACACACACACACACACACACGGATACATAGCCATAGGCATGCATGCCTGCAAGACACAGGACTTGGATTCCATTTCCCCAGGCCATCCTCCAGCCATGCCTCCTCCCCCATTAGCTGTCCTCCTCTCCATCTCCCATTCCCCCAAGCTGGGCACTGGGACAAGAAGTATAAACCAGGGGACACAGTGGAAACGGGCCTGGACCCAGACTCTGGAAGTTCTGGAGTAGAAGAGTGACAGAGACATGAGAAACAACCTGACCCCCATTCAGGAAAACTAGCGTCTGTGCTGAGGGACCATCTAGAGTGAACCTGTGGGGTTTCAGAGAGGGTAGGCAGCCTGCTTAGCAGCTGCTGGGAAAGCGGGCATGAAAGTGAAGCCGGTAAGGCTGAGACAGACGCTGAAGCAGGAGCAAAGGAAAGAACTCAGCCCAGCTGGAAAAGAGGGAAGGGTTCCGTCCCAGGAGTTTCATCCCTTCCTTTTCCAGATGGAAACTGAGATTCCAAAAGGAGAAGTGTCATGGCCGTTCATAGTTCTCTAAGGGATGCTATAAGATGTGTTGTACCAGCTGGCATGAGGAGGCAGGGAGAAAGGTGATCCCCTGAAAGCTGGTCACCTGAAGGAAATGTGGAATGAGAACCCCAAAAAATAAATGCCAGCCAATCTAACTCATTTCATAATCTTGCCTCATCTGCTCCTTCTAACCCAGCTGTTCTCAACCTGTGGGTCGTGACTCCTTTGGCGGTCGAATGACCCTTTCACAGGGGTCGCCTAAGACCATCTTGCATATCAGATATTTACATTATGATTCTTAACAGTAGCAACACTGCAGCTATTAAGTAGCAAAGAAAATAATTTTATGGTTGGGTCACAACATGAGGAACTGTATTTAAAGGGCCAGAAGGTTGAGGACCACTGTTCTAACCTCTTTCTCACAGGAAGGGCTAGAAATCATGCTATACCCTCCTCATCACCATACATTCTCCTGTAAAAACTCCAGCAAATGCTTCCACTCCATTCAGCCCCATTGACAAGCTGTCATCTCTTACCTGGACCCACAACAGCTTTCCAACTGGCCTTTCTCCAGGCTCCCCTCCCCATCAGTCCCCTACTGTGCAGCTGGTGAGCACTTGAAGCAAATTCACTTCTCTCTTTGCATCCCTCCAGCAGCTCCTTCTGTGGGGCGAGGTTGCCTGCCAGCTAACGGACAGTGTCCTCCACTGTCTGAGCCCCGCCTGCATCTCATACTTATCCCTTTTTAAATATTGGGTCTCCATCCTTGCATACAGCTAAGAAGTAATTCAGAGCCAGGAATTCTGGCACAAGGCATTTATTTATTTATTTTATTTTTTATATTTGATTTATTTATTTAAAAAATATTTATTGTTGAGAGTATTACAGAAGTTCCCATTTCCCCCCCATTGCCCCCTCCACCTGGTTCATGTCGCATCCCAGGCCTTCACCACCTTATTGTTTGTGTCCATAAGTAATGCATATCCATATACATAAAAGCCTAATATGCAAAGTGTCCCCTTGGGAGTTTGACTGACCAGGAGTTCAATCACTTGCTATAATGTGCGCTGACCACCAGGGGGCAGTGCGGAACGAAGGGAGGCCCCATCCTGCAGTCACTAGGGACCCTACCTGTGCAAGAATTTCATGTACTGGGCCTCTAGTATGCATATAAGATCTTTGGTTAACCTCTCTCCCTGCCCTTTCCCTCTGAGATTCTTCAGTCTGTTCCAAGTCTCCATGCCTCCGATTTCTTATTGATTTCTCTGATGTGTCCCCAGGAGTGGGGGGCAGTGAAGAAGGGGGCTGAGGCCTGGGCCTGGCTGGTGCAGAGGCTTCGCCATCAAATGGGGGGCTGCCTGTAGCTATGGCCCTGGGGGTGATGCCTCACTCACCTGGCCTGCGGTCTGCTCTCTACCAGCTTGTTCTCCGCTTGCTCTGCTCACTCACTCACACACTTGGTTGTCACTTCCACAAAAGCGGGCTGAGAACCAGCCAGCCCCTGGCCTAGGACC